ACAGTTGAAGACAAGCCAGGTGCTGATGAACAAATCTCAGTGGAAGAAGACTTGGAAGCCGAGGAGAAAGGTGAAATAAATGGAACTGAAAAGTGCGAAGCATATATGTATTTTTTATAATCAAAACCTGTACTGTTTAGTGGGGTACCACCAGTCCTCCAAGGGACGTCATGATATTTCAGACCTGAAAAAAAAAATGCGTTTTGAGTTTTGAACAATTTTTTGTCAATTTCTCTATGGTTGTCAAAAGTCATCAAAAGCGCGCTCTTAAAAATTTTGCCTCGAGTGCAAACAGTATAAAATATTGTCTTTTGATTAGTGGCTTCCCACATTTAAAAAGCGAAAGAATATCCGGTATAACGATTAGACATGGTAACAGACATTTTTAAAAGGAAAGTTGTTTTAACCGATCTGATTTTCGCGGGCCTCTGTCAATCTGTATCAGAGCTTAAGTTGACTGTTGCTTGTGCGTACATGTTCTTACGTTGTTGGTGAAAGAATCAGGGTCGTCACCTAAAAAAGTAAATGTTAAAACATGTTTTAAGACATAACGCAAAGTTACTCGACTTTTCTAAAAGTTGTTGCACACAGAATTCTACTCATTAGGGCCGTTTATACAAGAGAAAATAAGCCGCGGATTACATAAGATGCGAAAGAAACCATTTATACGAGTGACGGCTTAGTTCGCAGCCAGACCGGTCCAATGATGACGTAGTTTGTTTTGGTGCCCCGTGTAATTTGCAACAATTTCGCGAGCGAAACGATTGGCTTTGGTCAGGAAAATCGCCATATATTACTCTGTCTTTATCGTTTCAAACATTTCTGTCAACATTAGTGCTGGGATCTTGCGAAACTTGTGCGGAAACCTCGACAAAAAGTTCGTCGGCGATCAATCGAGTGGTTTGATAGAGATGTTCCGGCGATGGGTGAGGTGAAGTTTTGACGAAATTTCCGGCTCTCTCGTGCAGAAGGTCTTTTTCCCGCCATTGCAGTGGGGGTGAAAAGAGAGCATGCGCAGGAATCGTTAAAGGATTCATCAAACGGCGGACAATGTTTGTGTGCATTTATACGGGGTGTAGCGTCTTATGTAAGCCGCGGCTTTTTTCAAACAGCCCTATGTATGTTACACTCATATATTTTAGATTAGAGATAGACATATTATTGTGCACTATCAGTCTAGTTACTTTATAAGTCTGATGTGCTCATTCTCTTTATTATTTTAACTTTTATTTTCAAGAAACGATGACGTTTCCAACCCTTGGCCTCAGCTGTTTTGTTTATTTGTTACTTGTGGAGGAAATGGAATTAATGAATTTCCCCGCTGTTTTCAGGTAATAAAATTTGTGTTAAGTTACGTAAAGTTTTTGATTGGATGAAAAAACCTCGGGCGACTTTCTTATCCAATCAGAAGCCGAAAGCAAACCAATCGTAATTTGCTCGTTCGCTTTTTCCCGCGCTTCGCGTTGGCTTCCGGTTACGCCTGTCAGCTTCAAGTTCTGATTGGTTCTTTGAATGTGTTTGCCTCTCTTGTGATTGGTTATTGGTAATAGTTGCGCTCTCTTCGTTTTTTTACACTCGAATTTTATTATCATCACTGTCGCGTCAAGAAAACTGCTCACGCGGGAAAACCGTTTTCTGATCATGTTCTTTAAATATTTTGTTCTACCACGTCATCCCAAAAAACCCTTTTCTTATTCTTCATTAAACTGTTTAATCTTAAGCAACCATGACGGCAACGACAGCGAGAACATTAGAGAAAAAAAAAGGGTTAAAAGTTGATAATACAACGCGTTTACGCGTGCACATTTTCCTGTCTCTTTCTGTACAACAATGGCGTTAAGGTTTGTAGAGAACGTGAATGCATGTTGTTTAATTTTCCCGGCTGTAATTGAAGCTGAAGGCCATCTTTGGTAATTCATCTCATGGATAATCGGAAATACAAAGATCTGGGTACAACGTTTATCTCGCCAATGTTATGCTTACGATAATCTTACGACAGAAACTTAATCCAGTCATTCGTTTGACTTAGCTTTTTAGCTTTTCAGACGTGGTTGTTTAATTAGAACCCTATCGTTTTTACAACTTATCATATTGGAGATAGCTTGGGTCCAGGCTCCAAGGGAAAAAATTGGCGAGCGAAGCGAGGATTCCCCCGCTTTCCTTATTCTATTTTTTCTCTCGCAGTCTCCTCGCGATTTCTAGCCCCCTTCCCCCAAACGGAGAGCCTGTTCACAAACTTTATTTGAGGTGGTGATTCGAGCATCGCTTGGGATGTGCTTACTAACAAAAATGGTGATTATATAACAGTATAGTTGCAAGTCTGAGAACCTGAGCTCCTTATTTTATTTTTTGATTTGCAGTGTCAACTATTTGCTGAGAGTTAACATGAAGAACGTCCTTTTTCTTTTAAGAAGGTGGGTGAAGAAAATTAGTTAATGGAAATGTAATCATTTTAATTTAAAGTAATACTTTGTTACCAGATGAATTGTCTTTGCAGTGGCGTTGTGACACAAGTTTCAGCAAGCGTTACCTCGTCTAACATGGTCAGTGCAGTTGACACGTTTGAACTTCCGTTTCGAGACATTTTCGGATGTTACTAGAACGGGGAGCGGGGAACCAATACGGGGAACGGGAAAATGAAAAATAGGAACAAAGCCTAACTCGAACCCTAACCCTATCAGTAACTTCATTTCCGACTCTCGGTTTTGTTCCCATTCTACATTTTCTTGTTCCCTGTTCTCGTTTCCCGCTCCCCATTCCCCGTTGTAGTAACATCCTATATTTTCATATGAAACGTAGACTTGCGCGTCTACTCCTGCAAAGCTCGAATGCATCTGCTACTTGTATTCCTTTTTATTAATTTTGTTTCAGATTGTATAACTATAACCGGTTATATCATCAGTACGTCACGGAAAATAAGCTTTACAAATATTGTTATTGCAAATGAATATTATTATTGTTGTTATTATTATTATTCTCATCATCATCATCNAATTTTGTTTCAGATTGTATAACTATAACCGGTTATATCATCAGTACGTCACGGAAAATAAGCTTTACAAATATTGTTATTGCAAATGAATATTATTATTGTTGTTATTATTATTAATATCATCATCATCATCATCATCATCATCATCATCATCATCATCATCATCATCATCATCATCATCATCATCATCATCATCATCATTATTATTTTTAGCTGCCTATACCATATGCTGAATAAACCAGTCAAAACAAGACAACTTTTTCTGACCAGGCCATTGATATGTTCCACGGTGCATTGGTTGCTGAATCGATTTTTTGGAACGTCACAGCTCCCAATTTTCAGCTTGATATTAAGGTTTCTAGCAAAGTCTTCAGTTTATTATCTTTGTTTCGTTCACTTTTTTTACTTTCATTTCTTCCTTGCTTTTCAGAACAGAGCACTGTGCCATATACAAGGGCTTGGTGCGTATTTTGTGAGTGCGTGTGCTTCCAATTTTATAACTAATTTTAGAAAAATTTAATGAGACATTCAACTCTTTGACTCATTCACCAAGTTACAAAACAGCCTCTCTTACTTTTAAAGCTGTGGGCGAAATCCTATGGTGTTATCAATCAAAAGGAACCTCTTTGGAAGAACTTTTGCGTGGTGCTATGTGTAGGATTTTACAAAAAGAAATTTGGAAATTTTGTGAACTTTTGACAATGTGTTTACATTTACCCATATAAGGAGCTAGAATTAAGCATTGATACTCGCTTTTATCTATTCACCATTTAAGCTGAACATTTGTTTACTAGAGGTCTTGGCTTTTCCAATCCAAGTGTGCTCCTTTTGATCAAATCAGCTTGAGGGAGAGGGATGGTTTCACTTTGGAATTTATTTTGTGAGCGGGACTCAGCTATAATAGCCAAGCACTACAAGAAAATATCAGTTTATCAGTTGAAATGCAAACCGCGTTGTACCAAATTGAGTGTTAGTAGGCATCCGAGACACTGATATAATAACTTATGGACAAGCGTGTATACTTTCTAGGCAGTTTTCAAATATAAGTTAGGGCCTCACTCATCTTGGAAACATGGGCAATATGTTGACATCCTCCATCTTTAAGGGGCGGTCTTGTAACCGTTTTATCAAATGCGATCTTTTTGCCCTCAGAAACTATTGGATGTATTATCAAGAAGATTGAAGGAAAAAAGTATGGTGTACAGGCATGATGAGTTCAAAGATATAACAGAAATTGTAAAGGTACGCAGGTGTTTGATATTTCATCCCAGGTTTCCATCAGATTCCATTGGGTGAATATTAGTACAACCTAATATGATAACAGTGGCGTTCCCCAGGAGTCCCTTTTGGGACCCTTTTTATATAATATCAACTTCAATAACTTACTTTATTTCATCAAAGAGCCGAAGCTGTCTAACTATGCTGATGGTGATCAGCTGTATTTTGCTGATACTGATCCAGCTATTGTCGAACATGTTCTCAACAAGGAACTTGTGGTGCTGTGTGAGTGGTTTCGTAATAACAAGATGATCTTGAACCCTGAAAAATGCATGGCGCTGGTTCTCTCGCGAAAGCCCGATGTTAAGCTATCACTGTTTGCTGAAAGTGTTGCTTTACCGTAGTTGATACAGTTGATTTGTTTGGGGTAACATTGAATGATTCCCTGAATTTTGGAAAGCACATTACGAAAATTAACAAGAAAGTTGGAAAGCAGCTAGATGGTCTTTGTAGACTAAAGAAAATATCATAGTTTCCGACCAAACTCTGCCTTTATAATTCGTTCATAACGTGTCATTTTCATTACTGTTTCTCGGTATAGCATCACTGTTTGAAGTCTGATAGCAAAAAACTGGATATGTTGCATGAACGAGCACCGTTCTTTATCTATACAGTGATGAGTCTTCTCAAAGTAGCACTCTTTTTGGTTGTATTGGTTACAGCCTTATGGATCGACGTATCCAGAACATGTTAATTATAGTGTTTAAAGCAATGAACAATTATCCACCTGAATATTTGAGAGACCTTTTCAGGTTAAGAGACAATATCAAAAACCTGAGAGGGGTTGACAAACTACAAGTAACGAAACCTAATACGACTCGTTATGGAAGGAAGTCAGTAAAATACTTGGCTGCTATCACGTGGAACAAGAGTTCTGATACGTTAAGATCCCTAAATATATTGTGAGCTTTTGAAAAAGCAACTTGTCAGCTAAGGTTCTAACTTATTCTCAATAACAGCTTTATCTATTACGTAATTAGGTTTTTTACTGTAAATAGTTTTATTGTATAATTAAGGCTTTACTAACTTGTAAATAAGTTTTTCTTTTCCCTTTTACTTATCATTAATTTTATTTATTTGTTTTTTTTCCTTGGCTTATTAGCATATTTTGTTATTGCTAGAGGTCTAACTAACCTCATCAATCCCTAGATTAAATAAAGTTTCATTCATTCATTCATTCAACCGACAATCGAGGATCGTACTGTCTAGCCTGCGAATACACCTGTCTCTTAGCACTCCCCGCCGCTTGAGACCCTTGCGAGAGGGACTCCTGCGTTTTGGTCTCTTGCGAAAAGGCCCCAGGGGCGGGAACGATGAGATACTGGTATATTCACAGGCTAGTGTTTTGCTTAAACTCTTTTCTCTCAGTTTTACTTCGCTCCTCAAATTCCAAATTATATGAATACTCACTTTTTACCTAAACCTTTGTAACTTACCCTAAGGGTACTTTTATCAAGAAAGTATCCCGGCCTCTTTTATCAAAATGTCCCCTTTCGCTACCTACTTCGTTTAGCGCACTATCTACTTGCGTGTAAGATCAAGTCAGTCACGTAAATTAAGATAAAAACGTTCATTTGAGTTGTTGTCATCATTAATCAACTGAGAACCATAAATTTCTGAAAGAGTATTTTTACTTTTCCCTAGGCTTTGATAAATGTCATGACGATGTGCTCTTCAAGAAAACTGGTGAGTTTATGTTCTCTTCCGTTCTTTTTCTTTCTTTTTCAGCTAAAAGTAAGGTAGCTCACGGTGTTTTTTTAAATTGATATTGGCTGTTTTCTTTCACTGCAAGCATAGAACCTCAAACTGATAAAAGAAACATCTTTTATTGTCAGAATTATCGCCACGTAACAAAAATAGATGAACCCCGAGCATTTTTAACTACTTTCTTATGGGGAAAAAGAAAGAAACTTGAAAATAGCGGGCTACTATTTCGTAAGTTTATCTGAATGCATTTTGCCTTTATCTCCTTCTGTTTCGTCTATCCTCGCTTCGATTTGATTTATCTAAAACATAATATTTTCCTCCTGAGGTTGAAGCAGTTCAGTGTTATAATTTGTAAGTTAATTCTTAGATCTTTTAGTAATGCGCGAGGAAAATTGCCTCAAAGAGTGCCGTTGGAGCCCCTTTGCTATATTTATGTGTCCTGCGAGAGATAGGCTTTGTTGGGCAATGTCAACTTCAATGTACTATTAATATTCTTGTCTCAGGTTTTAGATGTTGACTTCTTTTCTTGCAGAGATCAAAAGGAGTTCGTGTTTTTCCAATTTTTGTGTCAAAACTAGATACAAAAAGTCAATATGGCTTGTTATAGTAAGTGGTTTTAAGTAATGTTTTATCAACTGTTTTACCTTAAAATACTCGTGAATATCTGGTGGCGGTGATGCGAGATAAATATCAATAAAAAACGTTCTCTACTGTCAAACGATAAAAAATTCTATTTCTATCGCGCAAATAGAATGGTTATACGCGTTTGCTGCTATTGAATCCATTCCAATTGTTACGTGGTTGAGGCGTGAAAATTTACCATCGTAAAGTAACACAAAAATGATGTTTCACAGAGTCGCTCCAATGAAAGGCTAGCGTTCATATTTCAAGTTTGGTACCTGAAAAACATTTTTCTTGTTACATGCAATTCCGTTATTGCTATGGTTATGAATGCTCCGTCTTCCCTTTTATTGGCTTAAACTCTCGCGCCATTTCTCAAACCCTGAGAAGTGAGACTANCCTTAAAATACTCGTGAATATCTGGTGGCGGTGATGCGAGATAAATATCAATAAAAAACGTTCTCTACTGTCAAACGATAAAAAATTCTATTTCTATCGCGCAAATAGAATGGTTATACGCGTTTGCTGCTATTGAATCCATTCCAATTGTTACGTGGTTGAGGCGTGAAAATTTACCATCGTAAAGTAACACAAAAATGATGTTTCACAGAGTCGCTCCAATGAAAGGCTAGCGTTCATATTTCAAGTTTGGTACCTGAAAAACATTTTTCTTGTTACATGCAATTCCGTTATTGCTATGGTTATGAATGCTCCGTCTTCCCTTTTATTGGCTTAAACTCTCGCGCCATTTCTCAAACCCTGAGAAGTAAAACTAAGAGCAACTGTCACTTAAGAACGTTTTTCCCGCGCTTAAGGGTGGCAACACCTACTCGTCTTGGGTTTTGATTGGTCAGAGTAATCAGTTCAGTTTGGTTATAGGACACTACGGCCTTTTTAAGTCACACTAAACCTCCTTTCCAGAACGTCGTCTACGCGAAATTCAAAATCCTTGAAATACGTTTCTGTATTAAATCAAATAAAACTTATTTTCATATGAGTGAGAGGTTGTGCACTCAGCCTCATTTAAAAAGTGAGAGTATTTGGAAAACGGGAAAGGCCTACTTCGCTGACTCGATTGAGTTCCCCCATTGTATCGTTTCTGTTAGGGGGTGTTTACGTGAGAAAACTCGCACCTGCGCGAGTTTCATACCGGAATGACTTCTTGATTTCGTATCGCGTTTACAAGTTTACATGTTTTTCCCTGTCCCATGAGCAACATGACAATGCCATCCTGAATTGACCAAAACTACGCATGCGCTACCCGTTCCAGTTTACCGGCAGACCGATTTCACACCAAAGTGAGTGTTCGTTTCGCGTTTACATGATACCCTTGCGTAAGTTCCTACTGGAGTGAAATTCTCGCTCCAGTACAACAACCGGGGTGAACTCAAGCCGGTGTTGACTCGCGCTGGCATGACATTTTGTGCTGGTGAAGTTTCGCCGGCGCGAAAGTCGCCCCGGTGTCAAGTAAACACCCCCCTTACAAGCTGAATTTTTTTTTTTGCGCCTTTTTGGTGACTTATAGTGAACGACTTAAGACTCTTGAAGATTTACGAAAAACTCAGCTTAAAATCGGTAAAATACCCGCAACTTCAAAATGCTATGTGAAATCTGACACGGACTACAATTTGATGCGAGGCTTTAATTTTTTACAGTACCTTTCTTCAAGATTGCAGTCACGCGGGAGTAGCCGGTTTGTTGATATATCTCCTGAAGGAACAAGTGAACCAAGCCCTTTGTGTAAGTAACACGTTGAAACTTTTATTAAGACTCGGTTTTTGCCTTTTTTGTGTGAAGGGATTTTTGAAAGGAATTTTCTGATTTGTTTTCAGTCTTCAGCGGAGGAGCCCTGGTTCCAAGGAACTCGTTTTATGTCGATATTTCAGCTGGTTCTCAGACTTCCCTCAAAAACTGGGACAGAAAAGGACCTGGTACAAGAAACTGATAGGTAATCGATCCATCTCTTTCAGAAGGTACATAACGGTACCAGATTGTCTGGAGTTTTCTTCGAGGGTCCACTTTCCATCCAAGCTGTTGTTTTATTCGAGATATATGGTTATTACTTTCACTTCTGTTTGCAGGATTATGGGGGCTCTTAACTGCCTGCGCTTTATTCTTCTAAGAGATAACTGCGATAAGGTGAAAAAGAATTTTTATTAGTTATTTTGAGGCTGCTAGTGACACTCGGTCGGTTTTGTGTCGAAGTGCACTATGGGACTGTTTTTGGAAGGAATTTTGACCCAGTTTCCCAACGCGACTTTGTAATAACCAATGAAAGAGTCGATAGCGTCTCCCACAGTGCAATTCGACACAACAACGACTCAGTCTCGTGCGCAACTTCTAAAGGGCCAAAATGGGCAAAGTCAAAACCCGTTTTCAGACCAGAACGGCTCAAAAACCATACCCTTTGGGGCGGCACATACCCAAATGGCTTATATAAGGGAGGACCCCAGAGGACAACCGTTAAGATCCATAAATGTGAAATGACCCCTGAAATATTTGCATGAATGCATGCTTCACGCGTGATTGGCTGTCTGCTAAAACGGGGTTCCGAATCAGGTCAAAAAAGAAAAATGTAAACAATTAAATAAGAACACTATTTGTCTTCTTCCAAAGGGTTTGGTGGAAGAAATTGTTTGCTAAGACCCTAGAGCTGAAGCTGAAGTTTGTATTCGTGCTTTTTTAAATTTGATTTTGATCACCGGCAAATCTTTGATGCGGCAACGCCGAACACCAGTCATGCCAGTAATAAAAGAGGACTCAGAAGTTTCATGTAGCTTGGATAAGGATTCTAAATGGGATTCAATTCACTCAGTTTCCTAACGCTAATCATTAAACTTTGCTGTAATTTGTAATTTGCTGTTTGGTGTTCAAGCGTTATTGTTTTTGTTCTCTTACCATAATTATTATCTGAAATGACCCACCCCTTCCCCTCAAAAATCAGAAGTTTGGCAATAACGCGGGGGAGGGGGACGGGAAACCTGATCCGTCCCCCATTTTGTCTTTATGCTGCTCAGACGAGGCGGCCTCGATATTTTGATTGGGCGTTTCCCTGAAGGGCAGCCCAATAATTACTGTGGGTCCTTATCATTCCATTCCCCTACGCAACCCTTAAAAGGTTGATCACGTGACACCATGATACCATAGGCCCATTTGTTCACTCTCTTTCTCTTTTCTTGTAGCTTGATCTCACAGTCGTTTTTGACTTCCCGATCGGAATATCAACACCATACAAGTTAGCTTAGGTAGCTGTCAGCGTAGTGTATGGGTCCCCATTACTACCAACCAGGACTTTGCGAAACATATGCTACTGTATCTACATATGAACTGGCTAACCACCGTGCTTTTTTCTTGTTGTTTTAGACAACAGTTTGGAAAAACTTCAAAACTATTGAGACGAATTTCGTGGACCCCTTAAGAGAAACATTGAAAATAACCAGAATACAATACCAAGCAGAACTGTTAAGCAAACGGAACGAAATGACCGGAAATAAACGTAAGTTCGGCGGCAACAAGTTTAGAGCTATCAACCCACACCGGCTCTCCGACTTCAGTCTGAGCCCGCGTAGCAATCGTTACGAAACGAGTTATTGCGTGACAGTTGGCGCGAGGGAAAAGAAACAAAAATGGAAGAAGAGGGGAGGGGAGCGTACACCGTTTTTGCTCTCTTTTCAACTTTCATGACGAACTCCGGCGGAAACGCTTGCTACGAATACTAACTTTAGTCGGTCGCCGGGCTTGAGACGTGTAAAGAGAAATAAAGAAGAAGTTAACAAATTAGTGTTTTGAAATATTGAATATGAGATATCATCAGAACTGCAGGCTGAAAACTTAAATACAAAGAGAATTATTACAGTGATGGACACAACTTTTGCAGTTGAGAAAGGAACGGCTTGGAAAATTCGGGTTTTGGAGAAGTGCTGAAGTTCCTGTACACATATGGTGTACTAGTTTTTTTGTGTTGAAAGACACTCAGCTCTTCTCGCGCACACTGTTCAGTGCCTACTTCATTCACTTCATACACGTTGTTAAAAATTAAGCGAGCAAGTCTCAAGTGCCCTTTTTTTTCAGGAATGGAGGCAAAAGAGGATATTGAATTTAATATCAAAAGTCCCGATGGCAAGTCACTGGAGGTGATGCCTCTAAGAGACCAGTGTGAGGTGAGATGGAAATTCCCATATTCATCTGGAAACATTGTGATTATATTCCCCGGTTGCAGGAATCAAAAAATGCGCCCGACTGAATCGAGTTGTTCAAAGGCCGATTGGCGTAAATGCACAGTCTAAAATCTAGGGTTAGTTACTATGAAAACGCATGTGTCGTTTTACAGTTAACCCAGGATTAGATCTAACCCGGTTTCGAGAAACTCGACCATGGAGTTCATTTGAACGCATGATGTCTTCCCTGGGAAAGATAAGCATTAACATCTGGGAATGTGCTCACCTACCCCTCCCCTAATTTCTCCATTGGTGCAATATTTTAGGTACGCCCCATTCATATTTTTCACGTGTACGGTTCACGGCACGTAAGATTTGTTAGAAATCGGCTTGGAATTTATCGACAACAGTGGCGAGTGTTAAACACAAAGTATTTGAAATCATTTCACAGTTGGTGATTTCCTGTATATGTGGTTGTTTGCAGGCGCTGCAGTCTGGCCTATACTCTCTAGATATGATGGAAAGCGTTGTTGCCAGAATATCAGAGATCGCGAACAGTCGAAGCAAAATAGGAAAATAAGGGTTGTCGTGAACGGCACGTAAATACCGCCGTTGCTGTAGTGTTCGCCACCAGGACCATGAATCGTCATCAACTGAGGGAACCCATCAACTAAGGGGAGCCGGCAACCGATCAAGTCGTCAGGCAGCTTAGGCCACTGGTCTGGCTAACGGCACTGATAGTGCTCGTTTGAACGAAGCTTAAACCTCGGATACTGTGGATGGGTTGCGGACTGTTATCAGCTGGTGGTTAAATTCCAGTCGACAAATCAAAGCGCTTTACAGAGAATCCAGGGAATGAAGCGGAGGCTTACGAAGAATCGAGCTTTATTTCAAATTTGATTCTTGCTAGCGTAAATTAATCACATTCTGAAACCGCATTATCTTAAAGAAACTTAACCTTTATATTCTGAGCAGTTTCAACGTCAATTATAAACTCGAAGGATAACACGAACCAGTGAAAGAAGCGCAAGGGAAGAATTTACTATAAGATTGTGATCACTTTTTTTGCCTCAATGAGAAACTGAAAGCAGTTGCCTAGAATTTATATTTATTCGAATAAGCGTTGTCTTCATAAAAGCTGTCTTTCAAGAACTAACGGCACTCATAGGAACCATATTACATTGTTTTCGGAGGCCACTGAAAGACCAAGAGGACAAAACGTCATACAATATTTAATATTGAGTGGTTATTGTCCATTTATCTTGGAACGTACATCCCTTGTTGAGTTTTCGTTTCAGTGGCTCACAACTCGCATAATAAGCTCCAATGTGTGCCTCGCCACAAGTTACTGTCATCATGTGTAACACTGACTCTTCTATCCGCCTCGCGACCGTCACTCACGCAGACCTCGTGAAAACAGACTTCTGTCTCTAAGCGCTAAGAGCTTACGTCACATTGATTTCTTTGTGACGTCTTCGGTACTGCAGTAGGTTTATCGCAGGGAGGCCACGCCAATCAATACCACAAACACTGCAACAGATACCAGAAACTCCACCGGAAATTTCCATTCCACCTTCTCTGACTGTAAAAAAGAAATAAATTAACGCGATTAAATTCCTTTGTAACTAATTAATTTTCATGGATGCCGGGAATTGTTCCGTTGGGTGGACTGGAACTGGTTGCACAAAACTCCTGCACTCGAGGTTAATTCTGATCTAAGTATTCTTAACACAAAACGTTTGGCGGTTTGACATAGTTATATTTGTCATAGTTTTTGGTTGAATTGTTTCGAAAAGCAGTTTGGATGGTTACAAACACAACCCCATAGATAAAGATTCTCGCGCAGGTTTTATCTCTTGCTTACGTTTCATGGTTACGGTTCATCAATTCCTGGCGATTAAACATTTGGAAACCATAGCTCTTTTAACACAATAGTCTCTTTTTTCCTGAAACACCTTTTATCCATCTCACCTCCGCACTCCAATTCTTTTCGTTCCTCCGCCACAACAACATTTTTTACTGTAGTTTCAACACCACGATCAACAACCAATTCCTATGGTTTTCCTTTAACACCGACACCACCACATTACTTGATTGATTGATTGATTACTATGGTTTCCCTTCACCAATGAGATTCCACCGCAAACAGGAGGCTCAAAGAAGCCCATCTATACTACTGATGTGACGCCACGTATTTTATGTCCCAAAGTCACAGACACAGAAATCGGGATCAAACCAGAGCTACAAAGATAATCTATATCAAACTCGTTAGAATGATGAATGATACCTTTTTTGCTGTGGTGGGAAACTGCTCGCGCAAAACACGTTTCTCTGCTGTTTTAGGACTTTTGTCTCTTACGGGTGACAAGCAACCCTCTCCTCTGCAACGAGAAAAATATTTCAAGTTAATTCACTTAGGACATCTTTTAGTTCTTGATTTCACCATTAAACATTACTTTTAAAAGTGCTTTATGAGAAACATGCATTTATACGTAGCACGAGCGTCGTAAGGCAAAGGCTGGGCCTGCTCAGATATTTTAAAGCCTTGAGTACTGATACGAACCGGAGACTGCAAAGCAATCTCCCAACTGGCGGGCCAGTGCTCAACCAACTCAACTAACCCTGCGGCGGGTTATTTGTCGCCTAAAAATTCAACTTTCGAATCTCTGAGTCGTGGCTATGCGTAGTTGCCTCTATACTCGCTACAGCTTGATTGTGGCTAGAATCCTTTTTGAATCCCTCAAAGCTGTTTTTCCGTGTGACAGAAGATGTACCTGCATAGAGATTCCTGCTGCACATCAGTAGTCGAGGAATTTGATATCTCAACGCTGTGAACGCTGCCAAAGAAGTCGGTCACCAATACCTTAAAAAAAGAAAAGAGGAAACTTTATATCTGTCACCACAACTACAACCATAGACAAAGGTCCCTGGGACAGTAATGCAGTATTCTTCTCGAACTCATTAATAATTCATAAAGAAAACACAAAGAGCATTAATGTTCAATGAGTGATTGAAAATCAGATGAAAACTGGTCATTTTTGCATCCTTAATTTCTTCTTCTAAAATTATTTTTTTAAAGAAGTAATATGATTATCAAGCATTCGACACAGTGTTTCATCACCAGATGAATCACCTCGAAGTTCGTCAAAAATACTCCGCTGCGCGTCGCATTTTTAACTCTCTTCACGGTGTTTCATCTGGTGATGAAACGCTGCGTCTCATGCTTGATATATTATATGATTTTCTGTAATTTCTGGGTTCCTTCATAAAACAGTGCATCTTTTTCGAAATTTTCTTACAGCGCTCCCTCACTCCACCCAAAACAAAGATGAAACTCGCAAAAATTCTGGGTTGAACGGAGGGGTTCGGCATAGGTATGTGAACTGGAAAACGCCCCAGAAATGCTTAAGTGTCCGAAGACTTTTTTGTCCATGATTGTACGTATCGCCTACTCAACCAGACTTGGACACCTGTCAAGGAAGAAAATCTATTTCATACCTTTAATCTCCGATCGCGTTATGGAATCATGTTAGAAATGTTTTATACGCTTTACCTTGTTAGGGTCCCTTTTGAATAAGTCAGATCTCACTCCTGGTGTAGATATCACTAAATTTGGTGTAGTGTAACTGAACTAAAAGAACAAAGAACACTTTGGTAAGCTCGTACGTTACACTAGTTCTGTATTAACTGCATGTATGTGCTAAGGTATAATCGTCGTTAAACACGACCACTGAGTTTAGCTTGGCTTATGCAGCATTAAATGATATTCCATTCCAGGGTTAACCTCTTGCTACGTGTGCACACACAAAGTAGGAGGAAAAAAACTGTGATTTAAAATTGTTGTCTTCGGACACAATACGGCCATACCCTGACACCATAATTGACCACCGTGTCTCAACGTATCATTAACGCAAGCTGAATAGTCAAATCCTGTAACCCAAGGAAGTTCCTACTCTTAATGGTATTATTGATAGACTGGTGTCTTAAAAACACTTGCACTCAATCGTCATGATGCTACAGACAGTGACCATGACAGTTTCGGTAGCAACTTTACATAAATGCACCTTAACACATCATCTTGTACTGAATGTGAATTCAATTCAGCTCGAGAAAGCAACGCTTCACTGTTTTAGCTCACTCTCAGTTGGAGACACACCACTCTTGAGAGAGTTGATAACAAAAAATCTTCGCCAAGAAAGCCGAATTCTGAGTCAGTCAATGATACTACTGAAAACAGCTTATCATGCTTAAAACAACACAGCTACTTGATAATGATGATGATAACAAATAAGAAATATTAATTGTATTTACCAAATCTCCCACGGTGGCCTTGCTGTTCGGAGTGACGCCTTCTAGAAACTGAAGAACGTAATACGTGTACCTGTCTATCACGTGAACTCCAATGGCTGGGTCTTCATGATGCTAAAAAAATAGATAATGATGAAAAGACAACAGTAAACACAACAACTTTCCTATCCAAAGTTTGTATAAATACATTTGTCAAGAGAAAAAAAAAGTGAATTCAGTGTTAAGGTAGGGCGCGTAGATTTTCTTGTTGGGCAAGTAGCTTTTAAAGCTTACTGGGTCCAAGCACGTCATCCTCTTACAAAATCATTGACTAAGACAAGCAAGAAGTCGCTCTGAGAAGGCAAAATGTGAGAGCTGCTTGCCCCAAAGACAAGCTGGAATTCAATTTTTTTCAGCTCTGTTAAAGTATCAATCTTGGAAGCTGAGATCCTGGGTTCCAGTCCGAGATTGAACAGTCATCCTGAATTTAATTAGGGTCCCTGTACACAAAGATGATCTCACAGAAAGGGAATCTTCTCCAACTAAACTGCTGCCAACACCCAGAATGTTTGGTGAGTAAAGCTTCTGTGTCATGGAGTATGCTTGGCAGGTGTCCACGATCAAGAACACCTCATTATACCTGCAATGATCCAAAAATAGAGAGGTTAAAAATGAGGGACTACTGTACAGAAGTATACCAAGCAGCTCAATGGATTACTCAGTAGCAGATTGAGCCTTGGTGGGTATTGAGATACCTAGTCTAGGACAGAGATAGCCTGACAAAACAGCACACATTTGCAACCACACTACTTGTTTCCACGCAAAATAACATCTGAGGAATGACTGCGGGTTGGTCAAAGCAAATTCCGCGCAAGGCGCAATCAATCAGAAGTATTACCCAGATCTGGGTAGTGACCAACATCAGTATAGCACTAATGTCATTTTGTGAGAAGACCAGCATCGTAAAATATTTGCTGTTCTTTCAGGCTAGGCTAGAGAGGGTCCTGACACTACGGGTCCTTTCCCTTGAGGTCTGACATTGTTACTGCTGCACCCACCGTCGTTTTTGCCACATTTGCTCAAAGGCATCAGCCAACTCTATACTTGTAATCTCCTCAGAATCTTGAAACTTAAGAAACCCATCACCCCCATGGCCTACAGGCAAATAGGAAAAACAACAGCATTACAATAGCCCATTTTCGAGTTCGCCATGACTGCTGAATTAAAGAAGTGAGGACGCATTTTTTACAGTCTTAGCCTCCATCTGAAGTAATATATTAACAAATTCCAACAAGAAAAAGACTTGTTTATTACTCTGTCTATTGTGTATATTCAAATTTCAAACACTTACTTGCCAGAATTTCTGAATATTTTACTTTACGTCGAGGCTAACCCTGTATGAATGTGCCGTTAATGTTTGTATTCAGCGGTGATTTTTAATTCGAAACTGGACTATTAAGATATTCCTTCCACACCTTTGAATTTTCATGGGAAACTTAATCATGTTAATAACCAACCTGTCATGTAGACGAGAATGTTGCTTCTTTCATCAGAAAGTAATCGCTTGGATCTTGGAACACTGGAGGGAAGACGACCTGTTATATTAAAATATGGAAAATATTAAGTGATCACAATTTGCACTGAAAGACACAAAATAACATGCAACTTTATAGTGGTAGTTAATGGTACAGGGTGGGAAGCCTTCTTGGAAAATTTAAAAGGAGACTAGTAGAAAACAAGTTATATTTTTTTTCTTGGTTTTACCTGTCAAGATTCTGATGAAGTTTTCCACTGTAACCTGTAACAAAAGGTTTCAGAGGTTTAATTTTACTTTTTGCCTTTAATTATGGTTGCAATGCTAGGCAAAGAAGGTAAAATTTTAAGTGTTTCAAAATCTTCACGACTTAAAAAAATTACTACACCAAAAGGTAGACAGGTGGAGCACAGGATTTTGACATAATTGTAATTATCAATGCAAAATTTTTTATTGTTACTGACATATGGTAAATGAAGAACCTGCCTTTCCTTTTCTTTCCTTTTTGGATTCATTGCCACTTAAAGTAAGTTTCTTACATGACAATGGTGCAATATTCTATTTTCCCTCAGGAGGCTGCATTTTTTAAACCTACAACAGGACTATGATGTCATGATGAATAGCCTTGAGTATCCCTTAGTTAGATCTCTAAAGCTGGCCATAGCATGCTGGATAGACTTGCCCGGATTGAACTTGACATTTTTCAGTGACATTTTCCCTCCTGACTGATGACCCAACTAAAATTAATCTTAGAAAGTCTACATGCTGTTATATGAAGCAGGTAAAGCACAACAAATAGAAGCAGAGCTGAATAGGTACGGTATCCATGTTGTAGGTGTGGAAGGGAGCAGGTGGAGCAACAAAGCTGCATAGAATGCATCAAGGTACAGTAAAAAGGCAACAATGGTATGTATGTGCCTTATATGGTACTTGCACACAAGGGATNTTTTTTTTCTTGGTTTTACCTGTCAAGATTCTGATGAAGTTTTCCACTGTAACCTGTAACAAAAGGTTTCAGAGGTTTAATTTTACTTTTTGCCTTTAATTATGGTTGCAATGCTAGGCAAAGAAGGTAAAATTTTAAGTGTTTCAAAATCTTCACGACTTAAAAAAATTACTACACCAAAAGGTAGACAGGTGGAGCACAGGATTTTGACATAATTGTAATTATCAATGCAAAATTTTTTATTGTTACTGACATATGGTAAATGAAGAACCTGCCTTTCCTTTTCTTTCCTTTTTGGATTCATTGCCACTTAAAGTAAGTTTCTTACATGACAATGGTGCAATATTCTATTTTCCCTCAGGAGGCTGCATTTTTTAAACCTACAACAGGACTATGATGTCATGATGAATAGCCTTGAGTATCCCTTAGTTAGATCTCTAAAGCTGGCCATAGCATGCTGGATAGACTTGCCCGGATTGAACTTGACATTTTTCAGTGACATTTTCCCTCCTGACTGATGACCCAACTAAAATTAATCTTAGAAAGTCTACATGCTGTTATATGAAGCAGGTAAAGCACAACAAATAGAAGCAGAGCTGAATAGGTACGGTATCCATGTTGTAGGTGTGGAAGGGAGCAGGTGGAGCAACAAAGCTGCATAGAATGCATCAAGGTACAGTAAAAAGGCAACAATGGTATGTATGTGCCTTATATGGTACTTGCACACAAGGGATCTGTTAAAGTGTACCTCGTATCCTCTGTAATCCACTTCAATGTCATCACCGTAGACATTGATATGCTGATTAGCATTGTTAAACACTGTGCCTGTGAATGACAAGGGGAATGAAATGATTGAGTTTCTGTATAATTATGTTAAAACCCTAAAATCGCAGACGATTTTAATTCAGACAAAAGAAAACTGTCCAAAATTTCTATGTCTTAGAATTTTACAGAGCTTATTTAAGTTAAAAAATATTGTGCAATTATGTTAGTGATAAGTATACATTAAACAGGCTAAGTAGAAGTATCCAATGACCCTGTCCAATTGAGTCTGATTGTGCAAAACAGCTATGCCTGTCTGACAAAACAATTCAATAAACCACATGGAAATACAAAGCTGCGACTCAAGATCACTGGGATCTGTTACAATATTTGAGAGCAATTGAGTTCCAACAAAATGGCTGTTGCCAAGGTGAGAGAAAATTTTCAGATCGTCCTTAAATCTTTCCCTTACACCTTAGAGGGCTAATATTGTTTGTTATGTACACAGGAAAATTTGAGCCCTGTGATGCTTAAGGAAAGATTTTACAAAAGTTTAAATATTACAAGGATTTTTTTTGCAAAACCACTCAACCATGATTGGGTGGTTAGAGTTGTTTTTCCCATACAAATCCTTCTAATCTTTACCAGCCATAGTAATCACTATTTTGGAGATATACAGCAGAAAATTTGCAGGTTTCTTAATTTTATATGCTCTCTCAGTTGATGCTAAGCTGCTGCTAAAAACTGTTTTCTTGTTTGCAGAAAGTTGATTGCATGACCAACTGCTGCAAAAGGCCTGTTCATCACTCCTCTAGAAATGACACGTGGGCCATCAAAATGATGCCCATGAAATCCCAAATCTTTTCCGTCAACAGATTTTGAAAATATAAATCCTATAGGTACTGTCGTAAGTGTAAAGTTTCTTGATTGATTATGGATAATTTTTTTAAACATTGAGAAGTGTGAAAGGTTTGAACCCAGGAGTCAATTCATAAGTACATGTAAGTTTAGCAAGATTATCCAGGTAAACGTAGTCCTAATTCTATATAGGACTGTTGTTGACAGTGACTGACATTTCAACAACCTGTGCTGTAGTCATCTTCAGAGAGTGAACTCGTCAGTACAGAACAGGATTGGCAAGCTTGAAGGATGCTATATACTTCTACTATTGCTTTAGACTTTAGAAAATCTGTAACAGGAATTGTAGCCACTATGTGAAAATGGCGAATCTGGAATGTTATTTTCCCTGTGAGAATTTTATAGCTGAGGAACTATCTCTTGTAAGGTGGGCCTTGGTAGATTTCTGCTTATAAGTCAGTGAAACGTAGAGGTTTAAATCCTTTGTAAGGAAAAGTATCACTAATGGTGTATCACAACTTCCTACACCTCCTACATGTAATTTCTTTGAAAAATCATAATTAGCTTATTAAAGGTGATACGAACAGTGTAGGAAAAACTAAAGACTCACCTGGTCTTGGATTGCGAGCATTACAGGCCATGTCATCAGCAAGCATAACAATAATGTGACTGTGTGAATATGAAAGTAAAAAGACAGTGATTATTGTAAAATGTGTGATTCCAGAAAATATCCATACCCCCCCCACGGATGGTCAATGGAAATTCCTAAGGGGTGGGGGGGGGGCTAAACGGTAGAAATTTCCTAGGGGTATGGGGGGTGCCAACGAGAAGAATTTTCCACAGCATTGTAAAAGACGCGATCGATCGTACGAGACAAACATAAGTATATGTGGATCATTTTGATTTGTAGCACAACAAAAATCATAAATAGATGCCCTTTCGAGAAAAAACTTAAAGATGTAATGGTCGGTCTGTCCAACGTTTAACTTTGACGAAGTCTCTTAAATAAATATCATCCTTCAGGCANCTGTGATGCTTAAGGAAAGATTTTACAAAAGTTTAAATATTACAAGGATTTTTTTTGCAAAACCACTCAACCATGATTGGGTGGTTAGAGTTGTTTTTCCCATACAAATCCTTCTAATCTTTACCAGCCATAGTAATCACTATTTTGGAGATATACAGCAGAAAATTTGCAGGTTTCTTAATTTTATATGCTCTCTCAGTTGATGCTAAGCTGCTGCTAAAAACTGTTTTCTTGTTTGCAGAAAGTTGATTGCATGACCAACTGCTGCAAAAGGCCTGTTCATCACTCCTCTAGAAATGACACGTGGGCCATCAAAATGATGCCCATGAAATCCCAAATCTTTTCCGTCAACAGATTTTGAAAATATAAATCCTATAGGTACTGTCGTAAGTGTAAAGTTTCTTGATTGATTATGGATAATTTTTTTAAACATTGAGAAGTGTGAAAGGTTTGAACCCAGGAGTCAATTCATAAGTACATGTAAGTTTAGCAAGATTATCCAGGTAAACGTAGTCCTAATTCTATATAGGACTGTTGTTGACAGTGACTGACATTTCAACAACCTGTGCTGTAGTCATCTTCAGAGAGTGAACTCGTCAGTACAGAACAGGATTGGCAAGCTTGAAGGATGCTATATACTTCTACTATTGCTTTAGACTTTAGAAAATCTGTAACAGGAATTGTAGCCACTATGTGAAAATGGCGAATCTGGAATGTTATTTTCCCTGTGAGAATTTTATAGCTGAGGAACTATCTCTTGTAAGGTGGGCCTTGGTAGATTTCTGCTTATAAGTCAGTGAAACGTAGAGGTTTAAATCCTTTGTAAGGAAAAGTATCACTAATGGTGTATCACAACTTCCTACACCTCCTACATGTAATTTCTTTGAAAAATCATAATTAGCTTATTAAAGGTGATACGAACAGTGTAGGAAAAACTAAAGACTCACCTGGTCTTGGATTGCGAGCATTACAGGCCATGTCATCAGCAAGCATAACAATAATGTGACTGTGTGAATATGAAAGTAAAAAGACAGTGATTATTGTAAAATGTGTGATTCCAGAAAATATCCATACCCCCCCCACGGATGGTCAATGGAAATTCCTAAGGGGTGGGGGGGGGGCTAAACGGTAGAAATTTCCTAGGGGTATGGGGGGTGCCAACGAGAAGAATTTTCCACAGCATTGTAAAAGACGCGATCGATCGTACGAGACAAACATAAGTATATGTGGATCATTTTGATTTGTAGCACAACAAAAATCATAAATAGATGCCCTTTCGAGAAAAAACTTAAAGATGTAATGGTCGGTCTGTCCAACGTTTAACTTTGACGAAGTCTCTTAAATAAATATCATCCTTCAGGCAAATCGATCGCAATTCTCGGTCCAATTCTCAACAGGTCCCTTGCTTCTCCGGGGATAAATTTTAGCGCATCGATTTATAATGTCGAACATGTATCTCGATTGTGGACTCGATTGCAGATTAGTCTGATAAAAACTTAGGCTAATCGAGAACAAACGTTGGCTATCTCAGCCCTATATTTCTCGAGCTTCGTGTAAACAACTTTATGCAAATTTCGGTTGAGTTCATCGCGACAAAGCGTTGCGTGACGACGCAAATAACACCTTTGCTGTATTTTATTATTGACTTCTAATAAAGTACCGTTGAAGGCAAGCTGTTTGTGGAACAGACTTCTCCATCAAAGACAATATCATAATACTATTTTTCAGGCATATTGTCAAGATGTATGAAAAAAACTATCTTGCTACAACTAGCACAGGTGTACTTGTAGCTGCCCACTGGCTTTTCTTATGGTTGCTTTCTACAGACCTTGTTTGAATCCCCTTATAAATACTTCACTTGAAGGCTGATAAAGATATGCTGGTCAGTGAAGCATTATTTTAAACTGATCACATGATATGGGACTGCATAAGACTAGGCTCTCATTTCCAGAAAAGCAGTTTTAAGGGGTGTCACAAAAACTCAGAACTCAGACCCCACTTAGAATTGAACTGAGTGTCTGTGTTGTCGAGACATCCAGGGGTCTGAGTTTTTCACGGTCGGAGGTCTGAGTTTTTGTGTCACCCCAGTTTTGCGACGTTTCTATTATTGACTCTATAATTCTCTGTATACAACATACCACGCAGCTCCCAATGTTTAAAACCCCACACTTTCAATTTTTGTTTGTTTGTTGACGAGTGAACGCATCTAATTACATTTCTTGATATTTAGAAATAATTTACCTACCTATCGGGGATTCCAAGTCTTTTGACACTTCTATAAATGGACAGAACGTTAGCTACATGGCGATAGTTGAACCAGAACCGAGACGTACAAACCTAAAAAATAGAGAGTTTTAAGTCCGCTTCCTCTACTCCACTGTCAGTGATGGTTTTATATTTTTTCTCTTACCAATACCGCCCAATTGTTTGTGTGATCACTCTTCAAGAATTTATCGAAAGATTTCTCCATTTTTGCTGGCATCGACTGAAACAACAAGGCTATCACAACTCGCAGCAGCACACATTTTGCCGCCATCTTGGTTTTACGAATACCGAAAGGCTTCATGGGTAACTTTACTCTACGAGGCGTGATGCACTGCGTGATACGAGAGACTTTTGTTGATTTTTTCTGTCAGTTTTTTCAGAAATTTGTAGAAAGTTGAATATACGTTGGTATAAGAAGATTTGAAAGCCGTCAATAACGGTGTTAATGTTTCCGTTTCTTTTTTTACGACTGCCACAGGAAAATGTTGCTGGATTTCCGATTGTTTCCGATTCATGACGAATTTTGACAAATGGTAATTACCATGTTGTCATAGCAACGATGGAACCAGTTCGCTCAAAGTGTTAGAACCTTCGACGGATGTCCAGTTTGTTCGCCTCTGAATGTAAACATTCAAGAATAAGTACAGATCATGACTGCCGAGGAGAGTAAAGATTACATGGCGAAAACAGAGGTTCATCAGCTTTTTGAGGTATGATATCGGAGAATCAATTATGTGTAATCTGTGCCACGAAACAGCTCCAATTTGAGAGATTCCCGCATGATAACAGTCACCAATAATTAACAGTGACTAATGCATATGAAGACCGCTTCTATGATATTTTTAAAATGAAATTTGTAGACTTTGTCCTCCAATTTATAAACTATTTAGTAGTTTTGAAAATTTTACTCCCTTCATCAAGTTTGGATGTACGATGTACGTTTTTGTAGCCCCCTTTGTGGGGCGCAGCAACTAAAGGCGAATGATAATCTTTATGCTTATTCGCAATCTTATAGAATCGAAGTAAGGTGCATCTTTTAACAATTTCAAATGCGAAAAAAAAATACATGTCCTGTAAGCTCGAGGAAATGGAAAAAGAAAACTAAATTAAAAAGGACCAGTTTCGGCTGAAGTTAATTGTAATGTTTATCTAAATTAGCGCAATACATAAATTTTTCAAAAATGTAAGCTTACTAGTTACAATTGCTTACACCACTGTAACATGATGTTTGCCCATATTTCAATGACTAAATAAGTGAGGGATTTTCTTTCTGTAACTTTATTGCACCGAACCGAACAGCCTGGTTTCATCAGACCTTTTCTGCGGATGTTTTTTTTAAAGTCCTCACCTGCATGTTTACTTTCAAAATGGAATATCAATAGCGACAAATAAACAAATTGATTGACGTATGTGTGCCAGCCTGCCAGGTGCGAACGATAATTGTTGTGGTTATAATTATTTGTTAAAATCCTAAGTGCATGACTTAAAATATGTTTCTTTTGTTTTTTGATCTGAACGTTCTACAACAGCTCAAAGAGTTAACCTTTTGAGAGGCCAATGAAATTGATAAGAATTAATTATTAAATTTTCCATGACATCTGTTATTTTTAAGTGCTCTAGTTTTTTAATTATGTCAATGATTTTTTTTCAACAGACTGAAAAATCTTGATCTTTTTTTTTCTGCAGGGGATGCTGACTGGCCTACTTTACCATAAGCCAGAGGATCATTTAGCTTTTCTGGAAAATTGCATCTCCCTCGCAAAAACCGAAAAAGACATCAAGTGGAACACTTTCCTTGATGTCAGCAAAAAGCCATTACCGCCCATCCCAAAAACTGATGGACCCATTAAATCTGAGGCTGGAGATGAGGTACGCACTTTTACAACTGAACCAGAATTGAAAACAAGACAACCTCTTCCACCAATCAGTGGCCAGCGTCCATCCATTGACGATGATGAGAAGGACTTGACAGAAACAAATATTTTAACATCAGAATCAGAGGAGGAGGTGGAGGTAGAATTTTCAGGGCAGAGGATCGTGTTTGTTCTTGGTAAGTGTAAAGTTTTGTAAGGTTATGCTAATTACCCCAGGGGGTGGGGGACACCCATATAAAAGGGACTGTAAATTGCAGATTTTTGTCTCACTTAAATTAGTCTTTGGGATGGAAAGTCATGATATTTGCCCATTCAGGTATCGCTGAGGTCTCTGCATAAAGAAATGTACAAGAAATGCTATGACACTGATCTCACAGAAGTCTAACTTTTATAAATAAAGAAGACAACATCCTTCACAATTATTTAGATCCCTTACTCTTATTTAGATGTCTGTTTTATTATGGTTTCCTTTAGGGGTCAGTTTAAGTTTGAGCCACACCCACGTTGGTGTCCCTTAGGGGTTTAATTTTAAATTTCCGATAGGCATCCCCGTTTATTTCAAATCAGTATAATGTTTCACAGGACAAGGTATAAAAAATTGAACTGATTGTCCCAAACAGGTTTCATTTTTAAAGGTGGTTGAACATATTTCTATAATAGAGATAGTCTGCTACACAGCTGTTTTTAGTGTCGTCACGCAATGCTCCTCCCCACTAACGGCTGCTGAAAACCGAACTACATTCCTTTCCCTTGATTAACCAATTATAATTCAGCTCCCATTTTCTGGAAAGTGTTCGCGCCACCTTTGCGGTACTGTGACTCCTCCAATCACAGCTTTGCTTTTATCGTTACCCCATGTGTGAATGACAGAATAATCAAAATCGTCGCGTGAAAACAAGCAATGAACTACAGTGTTGTTGTAGTCAAGTCCTATTCAAAATTTAGGAGATAAGCAGCAACAGCAAGCAAGTTGAGCAAATTGCGATTCACAACATGGATGTGCTCATAAAGTTGCCAGGTATAGTTTCGGGAAATCGCTCATCGATAATTTATTAAGACTGCTTTTTGAATCAGTACCCTTGAGAGTTTAGTCTTCACAGAACACAATGAGCACATCCGGTACATTAAATTCTTCACTACATATCAGCACATATGCACGTTAAATGAAGAACCAACCGATCCTGGTAAAAGTTTTCCAGGCCTATCAAACCCTTTTTTCACTTGGAACTTTCTTGACCGCTTCAAACAAACTTTTTTGCAAATTAACCTTTTCGTTGCTTGAAAACACAGAGCCCGTCTAAATTCAGCGATAATTGATTGATTTGTCGAAAACTGAGAAGCGTGCTCACTTCCTAGCGCCCTGCGGCTCACATATTGTCAAATTTCTTGTACGTGATTGGTTTGTTCGTTAGACCACAAACACAAAGGGAAAGGAATGTAGTTTGGCTTTCAGCAGCCGTTAGTGGGGAGGAGCGTTGTGTGAGGACACTAAAAACAGCTGTGTAGCAGACTATAATAGAGAGGGCTTTATCAGTTTCATCGCAAACAAATTGTTTGTTGCAAAAAAGAAAAGTTTTGTGGGGATGGAGACATGTCATGTACAGGGGACTGCTTTCACGTCCTACATATTTCTTTCCGTTTATTTAAGAATTTGTTCATGCTTAGCGTGCGTATATCGAGTTATGGATGCACGCGGAAAGTTTGGAGAGCACGAAAGATGCGTAAGAGTTGCACGAGGCGATAGCCGAGTGCAACTCTAGCTTCTTGAGTGCTCTCCAAACTTCCCAATTGCATCTATAACTCGATATACGCACAGCTAAAAGCATGAGCAAATTCTTTTATAACATAGCTGACAAAAATGCTTGCTTTTTGATTAACTGCAAAATTCTCGTAACGCTCGACACAATAACAAACGGTTCTATTGGCTGATTACGAACACGCCACAATCGTCTTGTTTGAATGAAAATATTCTTTCTGTAAAACTGAGAAAGAAAATTTGCTTCTTTATTCGTTAACGATCAATGGAAACTATACAGAAACAAAGGTAAAAGAGTCTTAAAGTTCACCTAAAGTTGAAATCCTCCGTGACATGTTCGTGAGAAGTCGTGGAGTATGGTTTGGATTTGCTGAAAACATGTTTATGTTTTGCTTGGCGAAATTCAGAAAACATGTTTTTAGTGAAGATGATTGTCATCCTTCTTTAAACTGACATTCATTTACAAACATTGGCTGGTCATTACAGCTTCTTGAGAAGACCTGGCAGCAGTTGTTTTTGTGAGTAATAAATTTATGTCTTCTTGTGTACATTTGTGTTGTTATTGCGAGAGAAATTTTCCTGCTTCAGTCGGATTGTCCGGAGATAACAATAGTGCATAACAAATTTAAAAACAACAATAAAAACGGAAATTTTAGCTTTAAATGTTGTTGATGACCAGTTGGTGTCTGTTCTGTTACCAGTGAATGTCTTTCGGCCAAAATTTCCTGAAGCTGGTCTTCCGACAAATTTGCGAAAAGCGCAACTTGCGATTTTTTTTAAATTCGCCTTTATTTTTGCTGCTTGTTGGATCAGGACCTAAAAGGTTAATGCCGACAGAAAAAATTGGGCAGTTCTTCGCTGGTTTCTTCCATATTTTACAGAGAAGGAACACTGCACTGTAGCTTAAAAGACGACAACTTTGCAGCCGGGTAAAAAAAAGAATGCTCACGTCATCTTATTTACGCAGGGGCGTGCGTAAATAAAGATTTTGTTCATAGCGGCTCAATAGGACTTATATAGGGCAAGCACGCGCGGTATGTTATAAAGGGTCTTTTTCCTTGATGCAAAATTGAAATCAACTTATTCATGTACTCCTTTGATTCTTGTACTCTTAAAAAAAAACAGAATTAGTAAAAAGAAAATATAGTTAAGTTAGGCCCGGTTCAGACACCAAACTTTTCATGAGCTGAACCTGATTCGAATTAAGGCTGACCCAAACTATTTAGACCACTTGAATTGATTCAGACGCTGATCTCAATTCCGGCCGAACTAAATCAAAAAGGAGAAAAATGCTCATTTTGGTGAAACTGCTTGCAAAATGCGTTATACAAATTTTTGTTTTAGGTTCAGTAAATGAAAAGTTCTGTGTGTGAATCAAAACTGTTCCAAAGTTGTTCCACAGTTAAAATTTTTGGGCTAGGTGTGAAGAACGGCTGAACTGTTCCAAATTGAAATAGGCGTTCCTAATTGATTCAGACGTCAAACTTTTCATGTACTTAATTCAATGTATTAGGTTCGGCTCATGAAAAGATCAGCGTCTGAACCGGGCCTTACTCATACTGGAGACCAGGAGATTCTCTAGGCATAATTTATAGATACCTGTGGACTTAGATTGTCGTCACACAAAACAAAAACTCTTATTGTACACTACACTTTTCAGTACACTTTGTGGCAGATTTCTTTGTCAGCATTGTACAACCAACATTGTCAAACTTAATTGAAATAGCAATGCAATTTATTACTTGAATCCCTAACATCATCGCTGCATCATGCCCAACAGCGAACATTGCCACTTCAACTCCATGGGGGGACCCATACAGAGAAGAGTTTGGCACATAATAATGTAAATTATAATGCTTCATTATTAAGCTACTACAAAGTGCTGCAGCTTAAATTATATACAGTCAATCATTCATCCTTTAACACTTTATGTGAACACCACAGGTGGACCAGGATCAGGCAAGGGGACCCAGTGTGCTAAAATTGTTGACGAATTTGGTTATATACACCTGTCTGCTGGAGATCTTTTGAGACAAGAAGTGGCCAAGGGAAATGAAAGGGGACAAATGATTGAAAATATTATGAAGGAGGGAAATCTTGTACCTCAGGTAACATAAGCATGTAGATCACTTTAACTTTTTTGTAGCTGTCAAGGTTGTCATCAAGTTTTGAATCAGCAAATAAAGATTCATCTGTAGCATCTCACAAAAACTTATGGTGTCACCTATAGCTTAATTTACACTTTGATGACCCTTAACAATGATGGGCGCATGGTGGAGGGACCAAAAGGCAGGCAGCCTTACTGTGATTGCTATTGTTGTCTCTTTGTGGACTTTGTCTTTGTTATTTTTATCTTTTTTAATGTAAGGTAGAGGGTTGTAACCGATAATTAGGCTAATTGTAACCGATAATTACAGACGTAATTGTATTGAGCTGTCAATGTCTGCACTGAATTGTAAAAAAGAAGAACAATGAGCGCAGCCTTAACAGATGTCGATACCTTCTTGGCTTAATTTTAACTCCAAGAAGTTTCTAAGTGGGTCTGAATTCATGACATTATTTTTTATTGGGATCCATCTTCACAGGAAATTACCATTGAGTTGTTAAGAGATGCTATGAGACAACACAAGGAGTGTCCTGGATTCCTTATTGATGGGTTTCCTCGAGAAAATCAACAGGGGATTCAGTTTGAACAAGAGGTTAGTATCATCTCATGAATGGATGCATGGGTGGGGTGGTACAGTAAGTGGGTGGACAGGAGTGAGGGAGGGAATGCCCATGGTACAGTAGTACATTTTAAGAATCTTTTTACTTTGATATAGGAAATAAATGCTTGAGTTAATAACGTGTCTTTTTAACGCGACTTTAATTCACGCTAATAAGAGGAAAAAATCATGAAATAAAGGAAATATGCGCGAAGGAGAGGGTTCATACAACATTTCAAGTTGATGGAATTTGACACAAACTACAGGAAGAAACAAAACTTGTTGAGACAACCGGGACAAATTTAAGTGTATAATCCGAAATGTAAGCACAATTCGTGGTACTTTTCCTACAAGTACGGGAATATTAAAGGAAAGGAACCTGGTCACTTCGTGCATTCTTCGCAGTTTCACTGATACTAACGGATCTCCACCCTAATTAAATAAACTTCTCTCTCCTGGTGTCAACAATATCTGGAGTGTATGAAGATTTGGGGCCAAAATAATCGATTCTAAGGTCGCGGGAATTAGCCTATACAAACATAGTGCGATTTAAATCAACGCAAAGTTTTGAACTTCACGTTAATTTCCTAACATAAGGTATTTTCCCTGGAGAGTGAAGGTGCCTCAAGGTGTTTTTAGCAGTTCAAATATTGAATTGTAAGACACTCAATCCATATTCTTTAATCATAGAGTCTAAGGGTCACTAGGGTCTGTTTAGTGTTATAGTGTGTTTAGCCAGACTCTGAACAATTAGCCTGCGAGCAATCTTTTCTTTTTGAAAAGAAGGACGAAAGGAGGGAGGAGGAGAGAAAAGAGGGAGGGGCAGGGATCCCTTTCCGTCTCCTTTCACTTCCCTTCCCTCCCCTCTCCTTGCTCGTGCTTTTGTTTTCATCTAATTGGCAAACAAAAGGTTTCATGACGATGCGCACCTGCTACCTTTTGTATACGGCTAACCTGAAAACAAGCCGTCCCGGGCGACCCGAAATGTATGAAATTTTTATAATGTAAACATTCAAGAATAAGTACAGATCATGACTGCCGAGGAGAGTAAAGATTACATGGCGAAAACAGAGGTTCATCAGCTTTTTGAGGTATGATATCGGAGAATCAATTATGTGTAATCTGTGCCACGAAACAGCTCCAATTTGAGAGATTCCCGCATGATAACAGTCACCAATAATTAACAGTGACTAATGCATATGAAGACCGCTTCTATGATATTTTTAAAATGAAATTTGTAGACTTTGTCCTCCAATTTATAAACTATTTAGTAGTTTTGAAAATTTTACTCCCTTCATCAAGTTTGGATGTACGATGTACGTTTTTGTAGCCCCCTTTGTGGGGCGCAGCAACTAAAGGCGAATGATAATCTTTATGCTTATTCGCAATCTTATAGAATCGAAGTAAGGTGCATCTTTTAACAATTTCAAATGCGAAAAAAAAATACATGTCCTGTAAGCTCGAGGAAATGGAAAAAGAAAACTAAATTAAAAAGGACCAGTTTCGGCTGAAGTTAATTGTAATGTTTATCTAAATTAGCGCAATACATAAATTTTTCAAAAATGTAAGCTTACTAGTTACAATTGCTTACACCACTGTAAGGTGATGTTTGCCCATATTTCAATGACTAAATAAGTGAGGGATTTTCTTTCTGTAACTTTATTGCACCGAACCGAACAGCCTGGTTTCATCAGACCTTTTCTGCGGATGTTTTTTTTAAAGTCCTCACCTGCATGTTTACTTTCAAAATGGAATATCAATAGCGACAAATAAACAAATTGATTGACGTATGTGTGCCAGCCTGCCAGTTGCGAACGATAATTGTTGTGTTTATAAAGATTTGTTAAAATCCTAAGTGCATGACTTAAAATATGTTTCTTTTGTTTTTTTGGTCTGAACGTTCTACAACAGCTCAAAGAGTTAACCTTTTGAGAGGCCAATGAAATTGATAAGAATTAATTATTAAATTTTCCATGACATCTGTTATTTTTAAGTGCTGTAGTTTTTTAATTATGTCAATGATTTTTTTTCAACAGACTGAAAAATCTTGATCTTTTTTTTTCTGCAGGGGATGCTGACTGGCCTACTTTACCATAAGCCAGAGGATCATTTAGCTTTTCTGGAAAATTGCATCTCCCTCGCAAAAACCGAAAAAGACATCAAGTGGAACACTTTCCTTGATGTCAGCAAAAAGCCATTACCGCCCATCCCAAAAACTGATGGACCCATTAAATCTGAGGCTGGAGATGAGGTACGCACTTTCACAACTGAACCAGAATTGAAAACAAGACAACCTCTTCCACCAATCAGTGGGCAGCGTCCATCCATTGACGATGATGAGAAGGACTTGACAGAAACGAATATTTTAACATCAGAATCAGAGGAGGAGGTGGAGGTAGAATTTTCAGGGCAGAGGATCGTGTTTGTTCTTGGTAAGTGTAAAGTATTGTAAGGTTATGCTAATTACCCCAGGGGATGGGGGACACCCATATAAAAGGGACTGTTAATTGCAGATTTTTGTCTCACTTAAATTAGTCTTTGGGATGGAAAGTCATGATATTTGCCCATTCAGGTATCGCTGAGGTCTCCGCATAAAGAAATGTACAAGAAATGCTATGACACTGATCTCACAGAAATCTAACTTTTAATAATAAAGAAGACAACATCCTTCACAATTATTTAGATCCCTTACTCTTATTTAGATGTCTGTTTTATTATGGTTTCTTTTAGGGGTCAGTTTAAGTTTGAGCCACACCCACGTTGGTGTCCCTTAGGGGTTAAATTTTAAATTTCCGATAGGCATCCCCGTTTATTTCAAATCAGTATAATGTTTCACAAGTGGACAAGGTATAAAAAATTGAACTGATTGTCCCAAACAGGTTTCATTTTTAAAGGTGGTTGAACATATTTCTATAATAGAGAGGGCTTTATCAGTTTCATCGTAAACAAATTGTTGGTTGCAAAAAAGAAAAGTTTTGTGGGGATGGAGACATGTCATGTACAGGGGACTGCTTTCACGTCCTACATATAAATTTCTTTCCATTTATAGGGTCTTTTTCCTTGATGCAAAATTGAAATCAACTTATTCATGTACTCCTTTGATTCTTGTACTCTTAAAAAAAAACAGAAGTAAAAAGAAAATATATAGTTAAGTTAGGCCCGGTTCAGACACCAAACTTTTCATGAGCTGAACCTGATTCAAATTAAGGCTGACCAAAACTATTTAGACCACCTGAATTGATTCAGACGCTGATCTCAATTCCAGCCGAACTAAATTAAAAAGGAGAAAAATGCTCATTTCGGTGAAACTGCTTGCAAAATGCGTTATAAGAATTTTTGTTGTAGGTTCAGTACATGAAAAGTTCTGTGTGTGAATCAAAACTGTTAAAAAGTCGTTCCACAGTTAAAATTCCTGGGCTAGGTGTGAAGAACGGCTGAACTGTTCCAAATTGAAATAGGCGTTCCTAACTGATTCAGACGTCAAACTTTTCATGTACTTAATTCAATGTATTAGTTTCGGCTCATGAAAAGATCAGCATCTGAACCGGGCCTTACTCATACTGGGGACCAGGAGATTCTCTGGGCATAATTTATGGATACCTGTGGACTTAGATTTCGTCACACAAAACAAAATTTACTCTTATTGTACACTACACTTTTCAGTAAACTTTGTGGCAGATTTCTCTGTCAGCATTGTACAACTAACATTGTCAAACTTAATTGAAATAGCAATGCAGTTTGTTACTTGAATCCCTAACATCATCGCTGCATCAACAGCGAACATTGCAACTTCAACTCCATGATGGGGGGACCCATACAGAGAAGAATTTGGCACATAATAATGTAAATTATAATGCTTTATTATCAAGCTACCAAAAAAGTGCTGCAGCTTAAAATACAGTCAATCATTCATCCTTTAACACTTTATGTGAACACCACAGGTGGACCAGGATCAGGCAAGGGGACCCAGTGTGCTAAAATTGTTGACGAATTTGGTTATGTACACCTGTCTGCTGGAGATCTTTTGAGACAAGAAGTGGCCAAGGGAAATGAAAGGGGACAAATGATTGAAAATATTATGAAGGAGGGAAATCTTGTACCTCAGGTAACATAAGCATGTAGATCACTTTAACTTTTTTGTAGCTGTCAAGGTTGTCATCAAGTTTTGAATCAGCAAATAAAGATTCATCTGTAGCATCTCACAAAAA